CCAAATAATTCCTTTTAATCTAGTTTAAAAAACCAAAACTAATCTAAATAAATTTAGCCAACCACAATCTGATGTGTACAATATTTGTACACTTACAGATTGGAATATAGATGAAATACATTGATACATATATACATACACATCCATAGAAATGTCATTCCAATCAAACATGTGGGTATTCATACGAATTCACCCTTGCATGGATTGAATTCTTAACATTCCTACCAGTAAAAGTGCGCACTGCAACGACCGACTGACAATCTCTATATGCTTACCACCTCCCGCCACAGTCCAACCGAGGCCTAGCCCACTAGACCAAGGCAAATGGCTTGCCACCACTACCCCTGCCCGTACTGGCGACCAAGGTCGGGGCCACTAGCCGACCGAGCAAGGGGTGAAACCAACCCCCCTGGGTATTTTCCCCTCCTTACTCCAATTTCGCTCACCAAACGCAACCTTAATAATTTTCTTGATTAAAAAAAATGCCCATCAATAAATAACTACCAGCCTGTCTAGCTACCATCGTTATGCCATGGAACCGTGTTCACCATCCATGGTGAACACGGTCCCAAACGGTAACGGTGCCTACAGGCACCGTTATCTTCCACCAATCTTTTTTTTTTTTTTAATTAACAGCGCGACTTTTCTTCTTCATATTCACATTTTGCGATTTCACTTCCTCTTCGCGCAAGTTTCTTCAACACTCATAAATTATGAATGTGCATGCATGGATTTATGAATGTGCAGTTATTAAATTATGAATTTTCTTTTATGAGATTATGAATTTTCTGTTATGAAATTATGAATTTTCTGTTATGAGATTATGAATTTTCTGTTATGAGATTATGAATGTACAGAAAATTCATAATTACATATATAACTGTAAATTCATAATCTCATAACAAAAAATTCATAATTTAATAAATGTTTTTCTTTTATCAGTTTTATGAGATTATGAATTTTCTGTTATGAAATTATGAATTTTCTGTTATGAGATTATGAATGTACAAAAAATTCATAATTATATAACTGTAAATTCATAATCTCATAACAGAAAATTCATAATTTAATAAATGTAAATTTATAATATGAACATAGAATGCAAAACGCCGTTAACAGCACATTAAATAATATTTTTTCCCGTAAAAATGATGCCGTTTGGGACCATGTTCACCAAGCATGGTGAACACGTTTCCCCGGCATAATTTGAGGTCTAGCTAGATATCGGAAAAGTGAACGAAGGTTGCGAAGAGGCTTATGCAAGTAAGGAAGATAAGTTTCTGTTTCATTAGTCTTACTGGAATGAAGAGCCAAGATTATATACAGAGGAAAGAGGCGGTAAAAGCCGTTGAAACTAACCAAACTAATCAAGAAAGCAAAGTACATAAACGCCCTTGATTATGGTTTGGCTTGATCATACTGCTCTTCATTCGGCTTGTGTGTATTCTTCAATACCCCCCCGTAAGCTGGGGCATATGAGTCATGTGTGCCCAGCTTAGACTTGAAGTGGTTGAATGATGAGGCAGGGAGGGGTTTCGTGAATCCATCGGCAAGCTGGTTTTCGGAAGTGACAGACAGAAGCTTTATTAAACCTTGGGTGAATTTTTCTCTAACGACATGACAATCAATGTCGATATGCTTTGTGCGTTCGTGGAAGACATGGTTTTCTGCAATGGCCACCGCCGATCTATTATCACAAAAGAGGGTTGCTGGCTTGGTTGTGGGAACCTTGAGATCATTAAGCAGATATGCCAACCATTGGATTTCACAGACAGTGGCTGCAAGAACACGGTATTCGGCTTCAGAGCTGGATCGGGAGACAGTTGGTTGCTTTTTCGAACGCCATGAGATGAGGGAGGAACCAAGAAATATGCAATATCCAGTAACGGATTTTCGTGTTTCAGTGCATGCAGCCCAATCGGAATCCGAAAAAGCTTTGAGCTGCAAGTCAGAATCTGTAGGATATAACAATCCCTGCCCTGGTGAGTTCTTGATATATCTGAGTACTCTATAAGCAGCAGATAGATGTATATCCGTAGGAGTATCCACATATTGGCTTAGTTGTTGTACAGCAAAGGTAATGTCAGGTCTAGTTGCGGTGAGATATAGTAATCTCCCAACTAATCTCCTGTACATGCTAGCATCAGTGATAGGCACTCCCTCATTATGCACCAATTTCAATCCTTGAATCATTGGTGTGTTTGTTGGTTTGCTGTCCAGAAAGCCGGCTTCTTCCAAGATTTCGAGGGCATATTTGCGTTGGTTTAAAGTTAAACCATCTGATCTTCTATGAGCTTCTATTCCCAAGAAATAGCCCAAGGGCCCCAAATCTTTTATCTTAAAGGCAGTGTCCAGAAACCTTTTGAGACTTCGGATGAGTTCCATATTTGCACTTGTAACAAGGATATCATCAACGTAAACAAGGAGAGCAATGAAGTCATCTTTACCATCACCCTTAGTAAATAAAGACGGATCAGTAGTGGACTGTTTGAATCCATCATGAACCAGAGCAGTGCTGAGTTTGGCATTCCATTGCCGACTTGCCTGTTTCAACCCGTATAAAGACCTTAGAAGTCTGCAAACTTGGTTGGGTTTTTCGCTCTCAAAGCCAGGTGGCGTAGTCATGTATACTTCCTCATTGAGGTCTCCGTGTAAGAACGCATTATTGATATCCATTTGGTGGATATGCCATGATCTAGAAACAGCAATGCTTATGAACAATCGAATTGTAGTTAGCCTTGCAACTGGGGAAAAAGTCTCGAGATAATCTATACCAAGCTGTTGTGTATAACCCTTTGCAACAAGTCTCGCCTTGCATCTTTCAATTGTTCCATCCGCTCTAAGTTTTACTTTGTATACCCACTTGCACCCAATTGGTATTTTTCCTGGTGGCAAATCAGTGAGTTCCCAAGTATGATTTTCTTGAAGGGCACTGATTTCTGCACTCATAGCTTGTTTCCAACAATCATGCTGGACTGCCTGCTTGTAATTCTTTGGTTCAGTAATGGAGGTCACAGCAACGGAGAGCATTCTATGTGAAGATCCAAGGTTATCATAGGTCACCACCTTTGATAAGTGGTGAGGGGAGGTTCTTTTCTTGACCACAGTGTCACAATAATATTCTTGGAGTCTGCTGGAAGGTTGGCGTTGCCTACTGGACCTCCGAGGGTGTTGTTGTGCATGATCCAAGGAATTGGAACTGCCCATGCCATCTTCATGATTGGTGCTTGGGATGGGGTCTACTGCTGCCAGACTTTCATCACTAACACAGTGATCGCTACTATGGGCAGAACTCAGAGGTTCTTCTTCATCATTCTCAACATGTAAGGAGGGGACTTCTGATGACCCTTCATTATTTCGGAATTGAGTGTCAGTGTCCATCTGAGGATTGAATTCTTCATTTGTTGTTGTGGGAACATTAGGCAAGGAGGGAGACATAATCTGTGATTCAGAGTCCACTGCTTGAGCCATAGGAAACTGATCTTCGTAGAAAACAACATCACGGGATATGAAGATGGATTGATCAAGAAGATCATACAATATATAGCCTTTCACACCTGCTGGGATCCCCACAAATATACACCTTCTGCTCCTTGGCGCCATTTTATGCCTTGCAGATGACAATATGGCAGCATAACATAAGCATCCAAAAGTCTTTAAACTTTTAAGATCCGGGCAATTGCCATATAACTTGTGGTGAGGGCTTGACCAATTGAGAACAACCGATGGTAACCTATTGATCAGATAAACAGCATGAATCACGCACTGCCCCCAGAACTGGAGAGGGAGACCAGCTTGGAATCGGAGAGCACGAGCCACTGCCAACACATGCTGGTGCTTGCGTTCTACAATAGCGTTCTGTTGGGGAGTATTGATGCATGAACGTTGGTGAATTATACCATTCTTATCAAAGAAGTCTTCCATTTTGAACTCTGAACCGTTGTCACTGCGCACAGCCTTTATGTTCACCCCAAATTGAGTGAGTACCATTCTGTGAAAGCTTCTTATTAACTCCCTTGTTTCTGCTTTGCTCTTCATCAACCGGATCCAAGTATATCTTGATCGGTCATCAACAATTGATAAGAAGAATCTTTCCCCTCCCATTGTTCTCACTTGAAAAGGGCCCCATATATCCACATGGATTAAATCAAAACAAGCAGTTGACACAGTTTTGCTTAAGGGGAAAGGAGAACGCCTATGTTTAGCAAGATGACATGTATGACATATTAAGTTCTTTGTATTAGAAATCGAAATACCATCAAGAAAGTGCATCTTATTCACGGGAAAATGTCCCAAACGATGATGCCACAATTCAGCATTATTACACTGCAAAGCAAATTGACTACAAACATTAGTTTTGATTCTTGGGGGATCATTCAGCAGGTACAGCCCTTTTGTTTCTTTAGCAAAGCCAATCGTCCTCCCATGATCCTCCCGAAGAAGACACTGGCCATAGGTAAAAACCAAAGAGTGAGGAGATTTTTGAAGTAGCTTATTAACAGATATTATGTTAAACTTGAATGATGGGATATGTAAAGCATCCTCCAAATAAAGACCATCATTGAGCCGTATGGTGCCAATATGTTCAACAGTGGCACATTCTCCATTGGGCATGTTTACCGATGCTCCTTTCATAGTGTGATATTCATTAAAGAAATCAAGGGAACACACTATGTGATCCGTTGCGCCGGAATCTATAATCCAAGTAGATGCAGTTAAGGTAATGGAATTGGCATTCATAAGGTTAATATACTTGCCTTCATTGCCAGAATTCTCTTGGTTGAATCTTGGAACAAGAGAAATTGCAGCTGTGGTAGAGGGATGGTTCTGCCCTGTTTGATTCGGAAGGAGAGACAATAGACTTCGAATTTGCTCAGGAGTAAGGCTATACTCAGAGCTTGTGGCTGCTGCAAACTGTTGCTTGTTCTTAGACTTGAAGCCTGGCACCCACCCCGGTGGGTAGCCATGTTTCTTGTAGCATTTTTCAATAGTGTGCCCCGTCATGCCACAAAAGGTACACTTAGCAGTGTTCTTGTTACTTCCTCCGTGTTCATCACCCTTTTTCCATTAGAATAGTTGAAGGCAGCAGCAGCAATTTCTTCTCTATCATTCTGTCCAATTTGAACAGCATTAGCATGAGTAATTTCTAGATTGCCGATGCTTAGGTTTGTGATGGTTATCTATCTCTCTAACTTTTCAGCCATGACGAACACCTTATGCATCTCAGGCAACGGATCAAGCACCAAGACTCCGGACTTCAGTGAATTATAGTCATCGTTCAGTCCCTGGAGAAATCGAATTATTTGATCGATCTCTCGATCTTTTCTGATCTCGTCGAGCAGATCGCAAGTGCAACGTGGCTCACATTTGCAAACTGGGAGGGGCCTCAGAGAATTCATCTCCTCCCAAAGCGTCCGGCACTTAGTATAGTAGTCGTTAACAGACATAGTGCCCTGCCTCAGATTGTTGATATTGTTTTGCAGAAAGGAGATGCGATGTGCGTCGCGCTGGGAGAATCGCCTACGCAGATCGTTCCAGATGTCTTTGGCTTTGTCCATATGCATCACGCTTTGAGCGATTGACGGGATGACGGACCTGAGAATCCACGAACAAACAATCAGATTACATCTCTTCCACGGAGCGTACTGGACATGTGTTCTCTCCGGCGGCGTCAAACTTCCATCGACTATACTCCATTTGTTCTTAACTTCAAGGGCCACCTGCATCGAGATGCTCCACGATGCGTAGTTAGCACTACCAGACAGGGGCGGATTGACTAAGATCGCACTCGGATTCTCATTTATGTTGAGATAAAGTGGATTTTCGATGTCTTCGGCATTGTTGTTCCTCTGCGGAACGGGATTGGCCGTGAATGGTGCTTGTTCTGGAGACTGGTTGATCGACATTGCCGGCCGGACTCCTTGGCTAGGCTCACCGGAGCCAATGACCGCGGCGGCGTAACTGCCTGGCCGTGGCTCTGATACCATATCGGAAAAGTGAACGAAGGTTGCGAAGAGGCTTATGCAAGTAAGGAAGATAAGTTTCTGTTTCATTAGTCTTACTGGAATGAAGAGCCAAGATTATATACAGAGGAAAGAGGCGGTAAAAGCCGTTGAAACTAACCAAACTAATCAAGAAAGCAAAGTACATAAACGCCCTTGATTATGGTTTGGCTTGATCATACTGCTCTTCATTCCGCTTGTGTGTATTCTTCAATACTAGGATCCAACTCCTTAGTCCAACCGGCAAATTATGTTGTGGACCACTGATAAATGTTAATTTTTAGTATATTGAATGTTCATTATTAATGTACTGAAAATTTAATTTTAGGTGTTATACTAAATAATGAATCTTCGGTACACAAATAATAAAATAATAATAATAATAATATTCAAAAAAAATAACACTTAATATATTAAAATGAACATTCAGTATACTAAAAATAAACATTGTGTTAGTGGTCCACCTTACAAGATAAATCAATGTACATGGTATATAATTATTGAGCCAAATCTCCCAGGCTCTTTGGGTCACAACCTAAGCCCGTCATTACTAAAACAATATATTGGAAAAAATAAAAATGAGTATCTTTTAAAAGATCTCAATGAAAAGCTTATAAAAAATATACTTTTATTAATTGTTGTTATTTATTCAAAAATAATAATATGTTTCAATAGTGATTCGTTACTTTGTATCATTTTTATTAACCTGCATTATTTTTTAATGCACATACACTCATGTTTAATATATTTGTTGGTTTTATAACTTTTGACAATCAACGGCTAGCTAACACAATCGTTAAAATAATAAGTGTGTGAAAATCTAGAGAGAACGAAAAGAAATTTTGAGAGAATAAATATTGTGGTATTGCTGGATATTGCTTGTGAATAGTGTAAATTGTTTTACCCCTCTCCCCATGTATAAGGCGCCTATTTTTATAGATATTTTGGGCTATGAGCCCTATAAAGAATCGAAATCTTAGATTGTCTCATATTAGGAGTCTTTGTTACATTATTTATAATAAGTTCAATCTTTATTACATTATGAATACTAAGCACAATTCTTATTAAACTCTTAAGTTGCTCCGTACTGAGTATCCTTCTTAGACTTCCTTGATTCAATTACTTTCTTTGGTCGATCCATGTGGCTCAGACCCTTTTGGTTGCCTAGAACGACCGATCAGCCCAGTATACCATCCTTCAATATTTGAATTTATAATGAACCTACAGTTAAATTTGTTTTAATGAATTTGGGTGTCTATATTATATTACAATATGGACCTGTTGTTTCAAGATATAATTTGCCCATGGAACATGTGTCTAGCCATTAGGAACCCAACACACAATGAAGATCAAGGATTTAGTATAACATAGTAGAGCAGAGGTACATTGTTGAGCGAAGATTTGAATGGTCTAGTCTAGCATCTTGTCGCTTGAAACATAATACTTATTGTTATATAAGTATAAAAAAATAAAAAATAAAAAAATTACGTTTTTGTTACTAGCTATAACTTTTGGTGTAATGATAAGCAATTAATTATCCCATTTTAAATATGTTGTGTAATTGAAACTAGCGAGTGTTGAAAAGGGACAGAGTTACGTATTTACTATTAGTATAGCTTTTGGAGTGATAAACGCTTTATCATCATGACATACACTTAGCCAATAGAGGCCATACTAGACCACCAATTCTTCTCCCATCTGTAAACTGACATACACTGACGTTTGTTCTGAAAGAACGATGTGATATCACCTTAGGTTGAATTGTCGTATGAATAACCCATGATATGTTGTGTCTACATACATCCAAGTGCTAAAGGCTGCGGATATAAGATTGCCCATCGGACATGGTACGTCACTACTGGAAATTATAGAATTTTTGACCACCTGAAAGTGATCTTAAATCAAGTTGCAAGCAAAAAGTGATCGAAAATAACAACAAAGGTTTTTCCAGATATCAAAAGTTGTCGGAACAAGGCTTTCGACTTGATTTAAGATCACTTTCAGGTGGTCGGAAATTTCATAATTTCCAGTAGTGTGTGCATGATTAGATCAGATCATTGCCCACACGGACTTAATTCAATAGTTCAGTAGGCAGTATGTATTTGGGAGTAAAGATCAAGGTTCGAATTTCGATGGTGGTGTAGAGATTATGCTCAAAGTCGATAGATCCCTTGTGTGCACCGGCATGTGGTCCTGTCTACTAAGCCATTGAGTCACAGTAATTTATATCCTTCCAAATGCTTTGTCGGGTCGTGATTTGAAGGACCATTGAGATTGTAGATTCAACCTTTTGAGAGAAGAATCAGACCAAAGAATGGTATATTGGTATAACGTCACCAGTTCCGCCAAGTTCTCCTCTCCGGCCGGCCACCTCCGCCTCCGACTATCCAGCCCCAACACCAACACGTACTTGTATACTATATGGATCTATAGATTAGATTAAAGTTACAGAAAAATATAAATTATACTTTTCAAGGTTAGCTTGTAAACCCCCCTCTAGGAGAGCCAAAAGAAAACAATAATATATCGATACAGTGGAGTCATTAACACGATTGGGGCAATTTTTTTAATGGGATATAAAAATAGGACACTTAAAAGTGTGCATAGACAGGAAAAGAGAATTCAAGAAATGCATGTTTGGTTTACAAAAATATGCACTCCCAGAGTGCATGTAGCTTTTTTAGAAAAAAGTAGTTAAAAGGTAAAAATTATGTTATTATATATGTATATGTATTTTTTTTTTTAAAGCCAAATGAATACATGTATATGTATAGTATTGTAACAATAAGGGAAAAAAGATAGTATATACGTATAATTGCTGTTAACCTCATTAATTCCTTAATCATTTATAATGCATACTAGTTAGTTAATTAGTATGTAGTAATTATTACATAATAGTTTAGAAACTTAAATGTAATAATTAAACAATAACTTGTAATCAGTGTATAATAATAATGAAAAATAATTGTTTAATTATTAAGAATCATCAAAGTAATGAAATTAGTACGGAGTAATAATTACATAATAATTATGTTTCACAAACTTAACTGAAAATTGAATTAGTTACATTTCCAATGTTATTTCAATTTCCAAAATGTTGTTTAGTTTTACAATAAGGTAACATGAAAAAATAATCTCTAATCTATTATTATTATTATTATTATTATTATTATTATTATTATTATAATAAAATCGATTTGGATCCAAATGACAGGCCAAATCTCCTAATTTTATTATTATAATAATAAGATAATAAGAGATTTCCGGCCCAAATAATTTTTCTTTTCTTTTTAAAATGACTCTTTAAAATGGATTGCTTAATGAAGAAATAGATTTTGAATTTTGCATATTTAATACAAATTTTGGTATTAGTTGTTTTATTTTTCAAAGTTATTAATTATTTTTAACTGACATTGATAGGTAATTAATTAGTTACACTTATCAATGTGTTGTTTACTTTTACAAGTTGCAATAAAAAAACACAATGATTATAATTTTTTAATCTAAATTTTGGTAAAAAATATCCTCTGTAGTGAAATCCCACATTTACATTGAAGTCAATGAATCCAAGGAGAGAAAACAACCAGGAAACAAGAGGTAATAACTCGTTATTTTTCTTTATATCATTTTAAAGCTCTATTTCATTAAGAATTACATTATTTGTAAACATTTTAGAGTATGCACTTCTTCTATTTTTTATATTTATGCACTGAGAATTGGATAAATATTTATTTGTGTTTCTCAATTGTTTTGGTGGAGGGGGAGAGGGGTGAATAGGGTAAGCAATAGTATGGACACACATGCTCAGGGGTGAATAGGGTAAGCAATTGTTTTGTGTTTCTATAAGCATCCCATCCAAGCAATACCCCTGTCATTGACACTTGAGAATGATATATATATATATATATATATATATATATATATATATATATATATTCAGATGATTGTTATAGTAAAATTATAAATGTTGTATACAAACAAATCTTTATATATATACCCGAGTAGCATACTAGTTTTTCTTCAAAACTAATTATGCACGCCTAGTGGGACTTGAACCCACAATCGTTTGATTAGAAGTCAAATACCTTATCCATTAGGCCACAAGCACTACACATTAGTATTAGTATTACACGCAAAAATATCCTACGTACCATCGGTGGCTGCTCACACCATGCCCTTCCACCTAGCTATAACCACGGTTTCGGTTCTGGAAATGGATGAACATACCAGAACCGGAACCTTAATATAAGGTTCCGGTTATTGAACCAGCGATTTCGGTTTGAACAGCTGGTTCAAATCGTTATTTTTTTTTTTTTTTTATTTTATGTTTTGTTTTAAACGCATGGCCTTTGCGCCAGTTCTAACAGTGCACGATTCGGTTCAAACAGAACCATGGTCCGAAACATAATGACTATGTTTGGCTATGTTTTGATAATTGAATAATGTCTATTACTTTGTAAAAAATTTGGCAAAAAAAAAAAAAAAAAAAAAAAAAAAAAAACAAAACAAAACAAGAAAAGGTTGAAAAAATTATATTTTTAGCTCCTCAATTGTTTTGAAATTAAAAATGTAGTCCCTATATTTTAATATTGTAAATTTAGCCATTCAATTGTTAACCTAATTATAAATTTAGTCAATGTTTTTTCTTATTGTAAATTTAGTCCTTCAATTGTTGACTTAATGGTAAATTTAATACTTTAAATGAAGGACTAAATTTGTAACTATGTCAATGTTTGAAAAATTAAATTTAAAATGTTGTGTAGCATTTTTTTTTTTGGGTCCTATACGATTAATTTAAAACTTTACTAAAGAATAAAAAACATTATGCATATATATAGGAGTTTATATAATGTTTGTGACACCGTCCTATACGAACAATTAAAAATTTATGCTTAAACTAACCAATAATCGAATGAATTGCTAGCAAAACTAACAATGATAATATTATTATGGAACAACCTAAGTCAAGTTAGTCAAACTATTGGCTTAATAATTATAAGTTTTTATGTTTGACTTCTTTATCTGAGTTGATCAGTTATGGGTAACTTTTGTTGGCTAAAGTCACGAGATGGAATTGTTATTGTTATTGTTATTATGAGTAGTGCCGGACCATGAAAACAAAGATTTTTTAAAAAATTGTTGGAAAAAAAAATGTTAGAACCAATGTCATACGGCATTATATAGAATTTTTTACTATTTTACATAGGATTCCGAATGATGAAAAGAAAATCCATGCCCCCAAAATCCACTTCCCCGATCTTGACATTATTTATCATGGATTCAGTCAGAGGAAAATTTTAAAAACCCTAATTAAGTGGATGATGATGATGATAAAATACTATTCAACCACTAGTTATGAATAGCTAGTTAATTTCCATCGTCTAAGCCATTGTTCAGAGAATAATAAATCCTATTATATTCTACCAGTACTATTTAGTACTAACAACGTTGAATAAGAAGGTTGAGACAATACTACATTGTAACAGAGTTAATAATAATAATAAAATTAAAAAAAAAAAAAAAAAAGTGGGACGAGGATCCTAAGGTGGTGGCAGACAGTTTGGTTGTGCAGGATAGCAAATTGGCCTATAGGCTCTATCCTAGTAGTTCATTCTCTGATTAGAATAATTAAATTAAATTCAAAGAAACAACTTTCCCAAAATGGGAATGGGACTATGAATTGAAAGAAAATCATAAGAAAATGGGAACATTATCATTGGCTTCGACAACCAATGGACTGTCTCGATATGCACTTTCGACGGTTAGATTTTTATTTTCATTTTTCTTTCTTTCTTTCTATTTTGTTCGATTAAGGGTTGTGTATGATTTAGTTCATATTGCTTGTTTAGTCCAAATCTTGTTAAAAATTCATCATAAATTGACTAATATTTAAAAAAAAAAAAAAAAAAAAGTAATTTGGATGAACCTTGCAAATGATAAGTTGTCGTTGGGATGTTTATTTTGTTCCTATTTACAAAGAACAAAACAAGGAAACTATTCCGATCCATCACTTGGTTCTTGGGTTTCTTCCTCCCAGCAGTACAAACTTTTTTTTTTTTTTTTCTTAAAAAGAAAAAAGAAGGTAAAGTATCTCTTTAATTTGAAAATTTTATAGGAAATTCTACAATACCAATTGAAGAATGTAAATGGCTAAAAATAAAATGTAACTAGAATTTGATTATAATTCCAATATAAATTATGCAATTGGCCGGCTGGATATGCATGCTTTACTTGTATTTTTACCATTTTTATTAATAATTGATAGTTTAATATTTTTACAATTAATTTTCATTACTTTTTATTTTTAATATTTTACAATAGTAATTGTAGCGAAAATTTTGGTTGTCCTTTGAACCTACCGATTTTAGTCCACAGAAGCACCTCAAACTCTGATCTTGCTTGGCTTTGTCTTATTAGGACTCTATATTCTAAGCATACTAGAATTCTTTCTCCTTTTCTTTGTGTTATTGTTTCGATGTTAATTGAAAAAAATGATAGTTTGGTACTAAATAGATAGAGGGTGAAGGATATGAAATCCGCGGTTGAAGATGAAAATCGAAAAAAAATAAAAATTGAAGAGACGAAAATGTCCCTGTCTAAAATAGGGTTTCACCATAAAAGTCATCGGAAAGATCAAAAGTGTCCAAAATATAATAGTTTCAATGTTAATTTGGCAAAAATGATAGTTTGGTACTAAATTTAGAATTGCCACTAGGGGTGAAAATAGGCCGAGCCGAGCCGAGCTTTAAAAAATTAGGCCTAGGCCTGAGCCTGTATGTAGGCTTTTTGTTAGGCTCAAGCCTAGGCCTACAATTAGTCTGGTCTGACCTGAAGCCTTTTTAAAAGCCCGTTTAATATGTAGGCTATTAAAAAGACTTCAAAGTAAGTTCTGGGCAAATTATGCTATGGACCCGTGTCCACCATGTGCATGGTGGACATGCTGTACATTCATAATTTTTATACTGTACATTCATAATTTCTATACTGTAGATTCATAGTTTCTAAACTGTAGATTCATAAAATTTATAATGTAGATTCATAATTTCTATACTGTACATTCATAATTTATGTACTGTAGATTCATAATTTCTGTAATGTAGATTCATAATTTCTAAACTGTATAGTTATCAAATTATGAACACATAGTTATCAAATTATGAATCTACAGTATAGAAATTATGAATGTGCAGTATAGAAATTATGAATCTACATTATAAATTTTATGAATCTACAGTATAAAAATTATGAATCTACAGTACAGAAATTATGAATGTGTAGTATAGAAATTATGAATCTACAGTACAGAAATTATGAATGTGCAGTATAGAAATTATGAATCCACATTATAAATTTTATGAATCTACAGTATAAAAATTATGAATGTACAACGTGTCCACCATGCACATGGTAGACAGGGGTCCAAGGCATAGCGCTCCGTAAGTTCTGTTTTGAGCCTATTTAAAACCTATATATTAAGTTTTTAAAAAAACTTTAATAAGTATTTCTAAATAATTTAAGAAATATACCAAGCTAATACAAAATTAATATATAACTACCTAAGTATATCGCCACAATCCAAACATAATAGTATTAAAACATATATAACATAAAATAAAACAAGTCACAACTTCAACATGTTTGTTAACTTGTTTAGGAATTAATTCAATTGTATTATTGATTGTCATCCTATATAGTCTCATAAATAGTTAACAATCAACTCATATAATTAAGTCGTGACACTTCATTAAATATTTGACAGTAAGAACAATTAAACAATAAAAACATTTATAATAGAATTAACAACAATGTTTATAGTTGAATCAGAATTTAGAATGTGATTTTGAAGGTGGAGGGTTAGGGTTTGATAATTGAATATACTTGGAATTATATTGTAAATATAAAAATATATTAGTTATAAAATAGAATATATACTAACTTAATATTTCTCTCTCTCAAAAGAGAGAGAGAGAGAGAGAGAGAGAGAGAGAGAGAGAGAGAGAGAGAGAGAGAGAGAGAAAGAATAGGCTAGGCGCCTAGGCCTGAAGGTCGAGCTTGATATAAATACGCTTGACCTTTTTAGTTGAATAGGCGTCAAAATTGGCCTAAGCTTGACCTTTTTACTAAACAAGCCTGGTCTATGTACGCCTTAAATAGTCGGGCCTTAGGCCCCTACGAAGGGGTCTGGCCTATTCCACCCCTAATTGCCACCAAAAGGTAAGAGATCTCCAATTGTAATAACTCAAAATAATATATAAATATTTTTATAAATGATAAATAAATTAATGCATTGCAAAAAATAAAAATATAAAATAAAATAAAAATTGATTTTCACAAAAATAGGTATTATACATAAAGAAAATATCAATCAATTTTTACTAAATGATATAACCAATACAAATATTTCTTGAACTAATGAAACAGCTAATGTTGATTAATATAATTATCAAAATATTTAGAATTAAAAAAAAAATATGATTTAAAAATATGTATCTTGTTAATAAAATTTAATCCAATTTTACTGCGACCGACATCAGTTTGCTATTGTTGTTCGCATCAATTTTTTTTTTTTTTTGACCAACAGTAGCTTGCTGCTGGTGGCAACAATTATTTTTACTGTTGCGACAAGCCGCAACGCAACAAATTTTTTATTATTATTATTATTATTATTATTATTATTATTATTATTATTATTATTATTTATTATTATTATTATTATTATTATTATTTTTTTTTTTTGTGAACATCAGCAACAATTTGCTGTTAAAAATGGTTGTGAACTATATAAAACTAAAAAGATAAAAGCAAAAAAGTATGAGTATTTATGAAAATTTTGAAACTTATTGTAAAATTTGATTGGAATAGATAAAAAGTTTGTTTGATTTGGATAGAGAAAAAAATTTGTAGAGAAAGTTGAAAAGTTTGAGGTTGGAGGGTTGGATTTCAACTATTTATATCTGTAAATGAAAAATTTACACAAATCTTATTCTGATAGTCTATAAAAAAATTAATAAAATTTTGAATACTAGATTACTAGTACACTTTTGAACCGTCAATAAAAGTATGAATCAAATATAAGTATACTTTTAAACCTTTTTTTTAATTTCTGAA